TGCTACAGTTCCAGAACTTTTCAATTACTAATTTTTTTTTTTGTAAATCAAACAGTGTTTCAACTCCTTTGTTCAGCACTCAGCACAGCGTGGACTTCAAGGTCTCATCTCGTCCATATTAGATTCAGACCCTTTGGCATAGATCATCTGCTGATGAAGGTCACGTGACAACATCAAACAGCAGCAGAGCAGCTACTGAACAGGCTCTGTGAACACACCGCTACACTTCAGGTGCTGTTGTGAAGATGAGATTGAACTCTGGTCTTAACATTTTTTATGAGGCTGCCCTAACAATAAGCCATGTATTTTTTTATTTGGCAACTGTTGTCGGTTAGTGATGGTGTAGAGTCGTATAAATATATAAGAATACAAGAAAATATAGCAATTGCTTTAAGATTGACTTTATAGACAATATTTTGGAGGTAAATTCGTTTTTTTGGACTGATTAAAAAACTGTATATTTTTTTAAGTTAATTGTGAATTGTTGGCAGAATATATCACAGGTGTTGAATCTGTTGTATTTCTGAAAAAGTTAACAGAGTAAATGAGGCAGAAAACTCTGTTCAGGTCATTTACCAGTACGCATGGCTGACCAGAGACTTTTCAAATCTTATCTTTCTCTTAGTTTTGTGTCGTTAAATAGGCAACTGCCCGAAGCTGAGAACTGAAAACTATGTTGCCAACTCTAGGCCTAGTACCAGGAACTCGTAGCAGTACCATGTACTACATATGGTTTCACTGAAGACGTCTAGAGCTTAAATTAAATTATTCGGAAAATTGTCATTTCCAACATGATTCCTACTGAAGAGCCAGAACTGTTGTCAAGTACAGAATAAACCTGTTGGTTTAGTTCAAACAAACAAGTTCTCAAACAAAAGCCAATGTCGAGGCCTTGATATTTGTAACAACCGAATAGTTGTCGATAATGCCTGTTAGCAGGCTCCTTTAACGACAATCCTGAGGTAAGCAACTCACACGAGTCCAGTCATAGGTGTCATCTCCTGTCATGTTATATTGTCTATTTTCCTTTAAATAGAATAAAAAATTTTCCAAAATGACACGCTGTGTATTTTAAGAAAAACTGGCCTCAAGGTCTTAATAACAATAATAATTTAATTATTGATCCCACACTGGGGAAACTCCTTGAAGGCGTCCTCTGGGGCTTGAACCCTAGCCCTTCTGCATGTAAGGCATGTTCCTCTGGGGCTCGAACCCTAGCCCTTCTGCATGTAAGGCAGATGTTTAAGCAGCCGTGATAAGCGTTATACTATGCAACCACTTGACTTTTAACCAAAAGTGCTCTAATCACAGACTATCAGTTTACATGCCAATGTGTCTGTGTGACAGAGAGATAACTGGTAGTGGCCCCTGGTGGCCATGGTGATATCATACAAATGTAAAATCCTTTTTCCATCATATCCAGTGTCTCTCCTCAACACATGTCCACACCATCGTTTGATCTCCAGACGACGCCACCTTAACTGTCCTCAGATCAGTGCTTAAACCTCCATCTTAAACTCTCAAACCGTCTTTAAACGCTACATCATAGCAGCGTTCACAGCCGTCATTTAAACCTTCCCTTTGTTAATGAACACAGGCCTGAATTTCAAAGGTGGGGCCTATTTGTGTTTGCACCTCAAATGGAACAAACCCATCAGTTGTTAGAGCGGCCGACGGACTGATCTGCATAAACACATGGATGTGCTCTGAGAGACAAACACTGTGAGGCTTCTGTCAGTGGTTCAGAATATTTACTCATGCGTTTTGCTGTGAAAATTCATTAACTGCTAACCAGCTTTGACCGGGTCGTTTCAAATGTAGATATTGATGTTTTTCTGGCCCGTGTGTGTTCACGGTGTAACGGCAGAGCCTGGTGCTGTGTTTTTTGTCCTAGCAGGGAGGCAGAATTTGCATAGACAATGGCACGTTTTGAGTGCAGCCTGGTGAGCAGCCTCATTTGGGAGCCACTTATGAAGGATGACACAATTCAGTGGTGCCTGACTACGCCTGCAGGAACACTCCACACAGCCATCCACACACAGCATCCAATTGTTGGCCATAGAGCACATTATTTTCCCACACAGCTTCACCTACCTAATAAAGAAATAACAGAAATGCCCCAAATATGATTGGTTGTAGCCTGGAGTGAACTCCACTCCACTGTCAATATTTCTGCACTATTTCCGTCTGCTTTAGCTGCTTATTTAAGGCAACGGTTGTTGCCAAGCAACAAGGCCACGGGCAGTAGTGTGTAATGGGAACACAGAAGACGGAGTAGAAGAGGAGGAAGAGGAGGACAGATCCCTCCAGTCAGAGCGCCGTCGAGCCGTTCCAGCTCCAGTGCAGCCTTCGCCAACCAACGCCCACGTCACCAGGCTCCATTATACGCCCCGATGTCACAAAATACGGCTCCAGAGATGATGCTGCTGCTGCTGCTGCTGGCTCTTTGCAGCGGCGAGACTTTACAAAAGGATGCATTCGCACGAGCATGGCAACAAGGAGTCCATCTGCTCCATGGAGCGTGACGTGGCTCCACCCAGAAACACACATTCATCAAGATTATCAGCTCCTCGTCGACACAGCCAAGTCTACACTCTGTCTTTCCAGTAGAGGGATCAATAAGGTCTAAGTCTGACTGACTGATTAACCCCACTCATGAACCACAGCAGGCTCTGACCATCAGTAACAGTACAAGGAGTATTTATATAAAGACGGTGTAGTACTGCACATCCTGGTCTACTGAAAAGTACACACTGACATTTTATCACCAGGCCGTAAAAGTCAACAAGATGAACATGTTATCGGATGTATTAATGATGTCAGCGATGATGCCGTCGCCGTGACAGATGTGTGGAATTTCCAAAAGCAACACTTCTTCTAACTCTGCGATGCAGACGGCAGCACCGTGTGCTCATAAATCCCTGATCATAAATTGTGGTCGGGTTTTTCCTGTCACATTCAGTGGAGTCAATAAACGTTTGAAACATAAACTGACAACTCCAACTCATCTGCTTCACAAATTCCACTCGTCGTTGTTCAAACACCTCTTCTTCTCTCTCACTCGTGGCATTTTAGGAGGGAATCAAAAAGGTGGTGAAAAAAAAAACAAAAAGTTTCCACTCTCACAGTCACTGTGCTCCGTAGTGCACTAATGATGTCACACAGCTGACGCAGGAGTCAAACAGGAAAACACGGCAGAGCAAACGCTGGTGCTGAAATCTCTATTTGTAACATTTCTCCCTGGTGTACCGACAACTCAGGCACAGACATCTGCACACAGCCTGGAATAGAATCACACTTTTGACATTCGGAGATCAAGACCCTCTGCTCATTGGACCATCACCGTCCCCAGGTATCAACTTAATAATATAATGACCACTCTTTATCCTGCAGAGGCCTTCATACAGACATTTGAAGTAAAGCAGTTTAGTGTTGAGCTCACGAGTGAATAATGTCCTTTTACATGAGCTCTGGCTGCCCCTGTGGGAAAGCTCAGGTATCAACCAGTCTGAGAAGCAGGCACTAACCTCAGGTCCTTGGTCTGGGAGTGAAAGGGACATTTGAATCATGAGAGCTGCAGCCATTTAACCCACAAACCTTAAAAGTTATCATGAAATCTCATATTTACTAGGGATGTTAACATATTTAATGTGATTAATCACAACTCAGCTGTGGGGTATTAATGATTAATCACAATGTAACTGAAGGGTATTAACAATTCATCATACTGTAGCTGTAATTGTAATTATTCAAAATGAATCATAGAAAATCCTAAAAATGACCCAAAAACAACATTTTGCTGGAGCAGAAATATAAATAACAGCTGGTAAATGTATGTGTTTCACAGCAGCTTTTTTGTGACTAATCCAAATAATGGAATTAATAATCAAAGAAAATGTCAAGAGAAACATCCACATCAAACTTTATCTTCGTAGAGTTTGCAGATTTTAGTCATCAGTTTGCATCTTGATGTAGATGTCGTGTCTTGCAGCGTGGTGAGCTGCTTTCAATACGTAGACATTGATCAGTCGCAATCTATCTGATAACTGTCAGTCAACTGGTCAGCCGTAGACTTTAGATTTAATGGTCTGACCCAAGCCGGGCGTCTGACCTGACGTCGAAGCCTTCACAAAACACACGCTGGATGTTGAGCTGGTATTTTAATCTTGAGGTGATTGGTGAAATGAAAACAGTTTAGTGCAGCGCGTGTAAATGACAACATGTGTATCAACTTGTGTGTCAGAGCAGCGTTTAGCGGAATGACGGTGCAATTACGGGATCTACAGCGTACGTCATTGAAAAAATGTTACGACAGCCCCGACGTGTCTCGTTCTTACCATTCTGTTTCCATGTGTGTCCGTGAAGTCAGAGCCTTTGAAAGCAGCAGAGCTGGCGTTGGTGACGGCGTTGGACGGCATCATTGAGAGTCTTATGGGCTTGTGGTTAGCTTCTGATGGTATGGCTGTGGTGTTGGAGAAGGGCTGTGGATGGTTGTAGTTGGGGGGTCAGGTTTACAAAAATAAGTCAAAGGAACGAAAATAAAAAGGTGAGATGATCCCTCTTCCCTCCGCTCTCCTACGAAAAAAAAAGGAAAAGACGGAGACAGTCAGGTATTTTCTCTGTCAACCACCAGGAGAGCCTGAGGACATGACAGGAGGCTGAACCCTTTGGGATTCTTCCTAAAGATCCTATTTATAGAGAAACTGACAAAAAAATGACAGTGTGGTAAGTTGAGTAGTTGAGCGCGGTGACAGTTAAATCCTGTCATTTTGGACTGTAAGTATAACTGAACAAAAGCCAGACAATCTTTTTAATTCTTTTTTAATTGTTAAATTTACATGGTATGGCTTTTGACTTTTCTCCGCCACAATTATAGTGGAAGTGATCAAACCTTGTTGAGGTGGATTTTACATCATCGACGTAAACAGGAATGTAAATCTGTTAGTGGACGTTTAAAGAATCCACCTTGAACTGGGTTCATTAAAAATGTGAAACGTGATTCATGGCTTTTTATTAAAACAACACTTTGTTGTTTGGTATTTTTTAATTGTTGTTGCTGTTATTATTATTATTATTATTGTTAAAAGGCCTGTACATGTCGTTAAAGTCAGTTTATCTCCAGATACACTGAATTACAATTAGTACATAATCACAATCAGAACCACAAACGACTTTATTGATCCCTGAGGGAAAATGCTAACGTTCCAACATTACATAAGCTCCTGTTCTAGCAGTAGTTTAGCATCAATGTCACTGTCATTTTAAAAGACTGCTAAGTTTGCTGTGTATCGTGCAGCAGGGTAAATAAAGTCTGCAGTCTGTGACCCAGGGGGCTTTTACAGGCCACGGCCACTGGAGGATTAAAGAAAAAAAAACCCGCCGCTAATGTGCTTTAATGAGGCCGGTGTTTTGAGCAGCATCGACCCACTTTCCTCGACTGCAAATTTCGGTCAATCTCAAGTGCAAACACGGCGATGTCCAATCAGAACATCCGCAGAAAACTGTCTCTAAAAATAATCGCCGTGTCCCGGGTTTCATCGAGCGCCTTCCGCTCTCACGCTGCTGACATAAGGCTGCTTTTTCTCCTTCCTTCCTGCACCGTTCCACCAGTACCGGGTTGATCCGACTTCAATGTCAACACCCCCTCACAATCTAATCGCATGTGTGTGATCGTTACCCGGTTTTCTCCAGAGTCCCAGGCCTGACCCTTTTTGTCTCGCTTGCTCCCGGAGCCTCCTTCCTCTCTCTCTCCCCGTCCTCCTCCTCCCCAGCCGGCCAGCTCTCTTCCAGATGCGCCGCTCTCACTGCAGGGGCCTGCAGACGCTCTCGCGCACTCTCGCTCACTCTCACTCGCTCACTCTCACTTTGTGCGCGTGTGTGTGTGAGAGAAAGAGTGCCGGGTCCTAGAGCCGTACGATTCATTGTGTAAAGGGGCGGGGCAGGTGTGTTCGTGTGAGAGTGATCGATCAGAATAATAAATAAGAATGAAATAGTTGTTAGTGGGCTGCAGCCATCAAAGAACAAGGGCTGTCAAAGGAGTATATCGATTAAATAGCCACCCCGTAGCTAATAAAATAAATAAATACTATATTGATCCCATATTTGGGAAATTGTTGTGTTAGCAGCAGACATGCTGTTAACGGGCTGCCCCTAACATGTGGTTCCTCTGGGAATCGAACCCAAGACTCTCTGATCTGGTGGCAAGCATGCTAACAGCTACACCATGGAACCAATCACAGGCTAGTTGTGGATAAATTATGAACTGACAATGATTGAGTCACGATTAATCGTGATTGAGTCACGATTAATCGTGAATAATCGATATTAATCAACATTTACAAGTTTGACAGAAAAATACACACATATATTTCCTGTATATTTCCTGTACAGGCAGATGTATGGGTTTCGCACACCTGTTTCAAAGTTAGTGGATTGTCTTTCATGTCGAGAGCTTCTGTTGTCCTCAAAAAGGAGTTGAGGTGAAGTCGCCACAAAGACATGCTGGGAATTCAGCGAGACAAAAACCTTTCTGTTTCAGTGTGTATAAATAACACGTGTATGACTGTGTATTAGAGCACAGCGGCAGGGGTGTCCTGGTGGTACAGGAAGTGGACGTGAATGTGAATCAGTGACACTACTTCACATTTATCTTTTTTTTTAGGATATTCATTCATATTTGACAAATCTTCATCTGTCCTCAGTTCTGTCCATGTCAGATGTGTGAGTCTTTGTCCTCGTCTGTCAGCGCTCAGACTGTGGTGTATTTGAAGTAATGAGTGCAGCCTGAATGTTTTCTGTTAGCAGGCTGAAGTGCTGGAAGGATGGAGGGATTACTCAGCTGCTCTGGTCCTATAACCACCAGGGGGCCCATAAATGAGGCACATTAAAAATGAGAAGTCTCCACCTGGTTCCTGTGTTTCTCTGCGCTCACGGCCTGTGTGTTTATTGTGGACATTTTATAGCCTGTTTAAAAAACTCAAGCACATAATATGTATTTCATTAAACCACAGGCCTGCGCTTATTTATTCACAGTACATTCAGTTAATTACCAGGAAACAAGACACCATTAAAACTTCCCTCCGTTTATTTTATCCTACTTAGACACACCGATTAGTTCAACACAAATACATTATTATTTGATAAATTAAAAAAACCCAACATATTAATACAATCAATGCGACGACCATTTTCTCTTCATCACCTTTAAAACACCTAAGGTTTGACCTCTTGACCTGTTTGAGCCCAACGCCGGCACCTGTGACATTAAATCATCATAACCAGAATAATTGTACCAGGGTCCAAACGCTAATGTACACAGACTCCAAGGAGCGGGTGTAAATTATAAAAGATCGACTTCTCTCGCCACAGACAACCCACTTAGACCGGGCAGAGCGGTCATTAGGGGACATTAAATTGTCCACTTTGGACATGAAGCATGGCACTAGTTAAAGTGGGTGCCGGGTTTTCAACCTTTCAAGAAGGGGCTCCGAGGTGTAAAAACAGTAGTGGTGACCTTTCAACTCTCAATGCATTCCTGTGGGTATAGTTTAATTATTCCAGTTTGTGTCTTATTACTGAAACTGTCAATAAATATTGCTGGGTTGGTGAACTTTCCTCAGAGCTCCAAGGTCATTAGCTGACTACGGGTGTGAATGTAAGTGTGAATGGCTGTATGTCTCTTTAGGCGACCTAGTGGTGGCCTGGTGTAACAACATCCTCACCTAATGTCTCAGCATCTGCCCTCCTGACCCTTCAAGGGTTCGGTGGTAGAAAATGAATGAATAATTAAATATGATTGGTTTTCGAAGGCTTTCTCCCACTGTTTCTACTCCAGGTCTGTCCACTAGGCGGAGACAAAGAGAGACAAACGCGCATGTTTTGTTTGTTTTTTTAAATAGTAAGGATGAACGCTCAAAGATCAGTCCCCGTGGGACAGGATAAGGACTGTGAGGGGCAATAACACAGATGGAGACAGGGAAGAGGTGAGTGCAGCAGAAGAACGAGTCTCCTCTCGTCCACAAAGGTTCACCTGAGGACAGCAGCTGCAGCAGCACAGGACAGATGAAGCTCCATGACCTTCAGGGAGGAGACCAGAGGTGGAGAAGGTTTGACTCCGCTGGGTGGAGCCTCATTTGTCACCTCCAACAAACTGTTTTAATGAAGGTGAGAGCTGGGTTTGTTGATTTAGTTATTTTTATCCAGAGGTCAGAGGGTGGGACACAGACCAGACACTGGATCTACTGACACTGGATCACAGAAAGGTCATCCACCGGGACTGTGTAAAGTATCTCTTCAGTACTTCAGGTCAATAACATCATTTCGACAAAGACAAAGACGTAGAGGAAGTTGACAGGAGTTGGGTTTTTCACTTGCACCCTAAAACTTTGCAATGAGTTACCTTTGCACACCAGGCTGACTCACTTCCTGTTTTTAAATCCTTTCTTTTTCTCAGTGGCTTTGAACACCTCCTGTCACTTAGGATAAAACCGTCTGCTAAATGTAATGTGATGTAACACAGTTTTAGATGTTGACTTTTTATTTCATTTTTATTTTCTTGTTTTTAATTCTTTATTGTCTGTTAATGTTTTCATGTGTTTCATCTGTTCTCTTGTGTGTACATGTCGCTAAAACTGCATGTTGTGGACCATACCATAAAACCATGCAGTAAGGTACACACAGGATTTAAACCCACGACCTTAGCAGTAAGGCACACACAGGATTTAAACCCACGACCTTATTGCTGTGTGGTAGAAGCTACAACTCTGTGTATCCGTATATTAAAAATCACATCTTTAGTCAATTAAAAATGATTACAATTATCCTAACCATGTAAAGTATATCTTCAGACACACAAATATGCCATACAAAAAGAGCATGAGGGATCAAACTGATGACATTTTTGCTGTAAGGCAGGACTAATATCCACCATTTGTGATGGATCTGACAAATCCACTTTCCTGACTCCTGAGGAGTGAAGTCATTAGGTTGGACAAAAAGACAGTAAACTCACCAGGTTTGTACTTTAAACCTTTTTAATATATCTCACATTTGATTTATTTACAAAAAACAGTGACTTTTGTGACATAAAACTGTTAAGTTTTTTTCTCTCACTCGTTGAAATCAACATGAGCAACAAATGAGAAGCAGAAGCCGGACACGTACAGAACACAGAGATAAATAACATCGGGGGACAGAGTGGGAGTGGACGACGCGTGGGTGTCGCCGTTACACGTTGAACGCTCTGCAAACAACGAAAGAATCACAAGGTGTGCGTCATTGTCTTTTAATTATGTTTGTCGTCTGAATGACGTCGGTGACGAGCAGGAGATCTGGAATGTGTTTTTCTGTCTGCGTTGCTGCAGCAGATTCAGATGGAACTGTTACGTTTGTGAACATAAACCGTGAGCGACGACCAGCACTTCCCAAAGTCGATATATATACAATCATTTATTTATATATATATATATATCTGTGGTTATACACCAGTGCTGTGTGTGAGACACACAATGTCCGACAAACAGTTTTGGCACAAATGTAAAAAGGCTGAGCGTCGTATATTTATATATATATATTTCTTTTTTTTTCCCCAGCAGAACACATTTAAAATATGAATTCAAAACTGTCTACAGTCACAGACAAAAAAGGCTGATAGATCATATTATTTGCTGAGTGGTCACTTTTTCTTTTTTTCCTTTTTTTTTTTTACAGCACTTTACAGAACAGCTACAGGCACAAAAATCAAAACAGAGAAGAAGAAACGCTCAGTTATGCATTCAAGTGTGTGGCCGTGTACAGGATGGAAGACTCTGGCTGCCGGATCTCGCCTCCGAATGTTAATGATCTCTGGAGCTTTCTCAGCAGAATGAAATGAAGCGGCCACAAAACCTGAAGTGACACCATTTCAGCTTAACGTGAACCGATGCTCGGCACACGAGCCTGTGCTTTGACAAAGTCATCACGGCCACCACTGTTCTCCACTAAAGCTTGATAAGGACAATAAAGACATCAAACTAAGGCCAAAATATCACATTTAAAATCCTAAGGACGACAACAGAAAGCCTCTTTGTGTTCTTGTTGTTGACACAGTGTAACAGGTTGGTTAAAACCTCGGAGTGAAGCTCAGAGGAGGACGGTCTTGCTGTACAGTGTTTCTTATTTCCTGTGGTGTGTTTTGTGAATTTGCATTCAAATATTTATCACACTGTCATTTCCTGAAAACAAGATGTGTTTAGCTTTAGCCTGTCAGGGACACTCAGGGACAAAGAACATAGAACCAGAGGACAAACGGGGACTGTAGATCGTATGCAAGAAATGGATGAGACTGCAAAAATCCAGAGTTGTTCGGTAAATAGAACCTTTAGGGTTGGAAGTAGCTTCAAAGAAGACCATGATAGTTTATCATATCTTACGTTTATATATATATAAATATATATATATATATGTATACAGATATGTGTAAATATACTGTATATATGTACATATGGTATATATATACATATATGTACACACATATGTGCAAATATATAAGTAAATATACATATCTATAGATACATATATATATACTAATAAAATATATGCTAACAGTGATCTGTTAAGTAACTCAGGTGAGAAAGGCACAAAAGCCAATTGTAATCATTTATTGTCTACTTTCCTCTAAACAGGATCCAGGAGTGAAGTGACCTCTGATCAATTCCAGTCATTGACTCTGGGAAATTCTAGAATTTGCAGGCATGTCCATTCTTTACATACCATCTGTGGATGGAAGGCTGGCATGATCTCTGTCCAACTGGGAAAAAAAGTGGACATTGTTCTATTTTTTTTTATGAAAGACAAATTCACACAAAGACAAACGGTACCTGACAACATGCTTCAACAAACAGCACTTTAGAAAAAATGTCTCCCTCTAATCAGAATCCTCTCCCTGACTCTCTTTGATGGAGGAAATACAACATTTCTTTTAACATTTCCCTCTATGTTAAAGGACATTTCAGAATAAAAGCCTTGATTTCTAATAGAAATGTTGCCTCCTCTAGTAACCACTTCCCATAACTAAAGGCCAAAGCCATCTCCATCCTTCCTCCAGAGCAGCTCTGCAGTCCCTGAGCACCTGGGCCATCACTCCACATTACCTGTTTAATATACTTTTATTACTTAAATAAAGCTATTAGCAGCACTTCCTACTTGCTTTTTAACTACTTCTCATTCTTACACACTGTGTTAATGTGTTAATAAAGTCGTCACCAAAACTGTTTTATTGTTATTAAACAACCTGAGGAGTTTTTTCCCACACTCAGAGGCCGCGGCAGCTGCTCAGTCTGTCCCAGAGGAGGAACCAGGACGTGTCCAGCCGTGAATGTCCGTCAGGTGAGTCTGTTCAGGTTTTTATGAGAGAAGGAAACTTCCAGGTTCTGCTCATTGTTGTAATCCATGGAGTGTTCACGAGACACTACAGCATCATACTGCAGTAGGTACTGTGTATAGTTTAATGTTTTTATTATGAGATTTTTCTTCTTTTTCATCAAAAATTAAGCTGTATTTGAGTTGCAACCACGTACTTATGGCGCCTGTGTCAGTTCTAGACTTACACTGTAAAATTCCCCTTGTGGGATGATTAATGGACTCAATTATTAATTATTATTATTAAAGAAATTGAATGTAAAAGATATTATTATGGTAAAAGGTAAAGGTAAAAAAGGCATCATTATTTAAATATTTATTCTTAATAACGCTGCAGTTTCCCCTCAAACAGTGAAATGTTAATCAAATTAGTCAGTAACTTCTTTTAACTTCTCCATCTGTTTTGAGCGGCCTGGTGGAGTTGGTCATAGTTGAGCTGAATCATTTATCCTGAAGACAGGACTCTCAGCTGTCTGCTCGTCTGTGCTCCCTGTGAAGGCTATAATACCAGGTGCTGCACCTGGTATTCCCATAAGGTTAACACATTGGATGAACTGAAACGATTGAATCGCAGATCGAAGAACAAAACTTTGGTGAAAGGAAGTTCAGGAGTCCCCAACCTCCAATCAGAGACAAGTCTCATGTCTTTGTTTGGTTGACTTACTCTAATGGCCGGGATACACTGTGCGACTTTGGGCCGTCCCATACGAGGACGTCCATCGTAGGGGGACCGTGGAGAGACTGGTTCAAGGACGGCCGTTGTCAGTGTTTTGTTACCACATGCTGACAACAAGATAAAATTCTAGCTGAGTCAGAAATTTAGGATGACTATTTCACAGCTGCTGCCGTACGATGCATGTCTACTATGTCTTCTTCAGATTTTTTTTAGTGCACAAAAATGCCACGAGGGGAGACATTCTTCATGTTTCCTTCACTCCTGAGCGGTTTAGATAACTATGGCAAAGAGGACGTACGCAGACGATGTTGCATATTGACGTCCGTCGTAACCTACGATTGAGTAAACGGTCATCGTACAGTCTGCACACGTCATGCCAAAAAGTCGCACAGTGTATGGAGACCCTAAGAGAGTCTGAGTCTCTGACTCTGGTCCCTGTCTTTGTGGATTCTGTGGCAGGACAAGCTCTGACTCTCCTGCTGTCACTGACACTACAGTCACATGACCTGAACGTACAGTGACCCCAGACGTGAGTGCAGCGTCATGCAAATGACAACAATAAATAAAACAAACTACCAGCACTAACTGCACCAACACAGTCACATGATGATTTCCAGCGCGTGTGTTTACAGCGTGTTTACATTACACAATGACCTGCTGTGACAGACTTAAACAGTAGGGGGTGTAAAGCAGCACGGCGAGCCGTTCCTTAGCAGTGGTGAGAGGGACAAGGCTGGGCAACTTTACTGGACAACACACACAGACACACACATACGCTCACAGACATACACACACTCGCTAATGAGACACATCTTGCTACCTGCAAGGTGTGGAGACACGGTATGTTTCTTCACATAGTGAAATCCTGTTACATTACAGCATGCATTACTCTACGTGCTAATGCCGGGGGCTTGTTGTTGTTGTTGTTGTTGTTGTTGTGTTTGATTCTTCAGAGCTGATGATTGACCATATGTTCTCACAGGATGTGATGGTGTAATATTTCTCTATACTCTGACTGTGCCTGGATACACACACAAACAAAGACAGAGGAGCAGATTAACAACGGCTGACTGGATGACTTCTATATGTACTGTTTGTATAAATGTGTGCCACAACCAGTCTGTGTCAATTTCACAGCTGCTTTTAGATGAAAGCACTGCAGCTTCTACAGCTGGTCAGGGTTTTACGCAACGGATTCACAGGGTTAACAGGTTTGTATGTATGTGTGGTTGACCTGAGACCTGCTGAGGTGGACCTGAAGGAATTGTTACTAATGTTGCCATCTACTTTCATCCAGGCACACTGACGTGTTACAGTAGTTTGCACAGTTTTGCGCAATGGTTACAGTGTCATAGCACCACATAGCGATTAGCGTAAATGATTTCAAATGTGCGGCTTATGTTGAACCAGTGTCATGTGGTGCTCAGCTGGGATCTGTTTCTGGTCTAGTCCAGTTTCCACATGTTTGGTCTGCCTAACGTTGTCTGCAGTCCTAGTTTCTGTAGTTAGTTTTTATTTAGTCCTTTTGTGAATATTGGACGCACCTCTGTCTCCACCGTTCCTCAGGTTGGTCTCCTCCTCCTCCGCACCGTCATCCACTTCAAAAGTCAAAACCACAGAGATCAGTCACTGCCATCCAGACAAACGGCATAAAAACTCAGGATGGAAATGTTTAAAAAGCAGGTGTGAGAATGATAACTAAATCAGGAGGGAAATAAATCTTTTAATAAAGCTGGGAAACAGAAAAAAAATAAAAAGCAGATGGTGGAACAGGCACTTGTCGTTAAAAAAAAAGAAAAGTTGATTTGGACATACCTGAGTGAAGCTCCTTCACCAGAGACGACATGGTGTTAGTGATCGAGTCAGCAGCAACTAATAAATCATTCCGGAGATTTCTAGGTACACCTGGGAAAGAGAAACAGATAAAAACTGGATTAAAAACACCAGTGGATGACAAACACAACATGATATCTATTGTTTTTGTCCTTTTTCTAAACCATCTACACCTTTAGCTGTGTATATATATGTATATATATATATATATATACTACTTTAAAATTAGCAAGTAAAACAGGTACTTCATTTTCTTAAGTTCAAAAAAATGATTTTAAACTTTACAGAATTGCTGCTTGACATATGATTTGAACTACTGTGACCCTAAAGTTCCTTGAAAATAGTTTCCGGTACTAAAAGAACTTATATCGACAACAGGATGTCTACCTTCTGAGCCAAACAACTTGATGATTAAGTTTGACTTCCACAACAAGTTTGGAATCTCACCCTGAGCAAAGGCCTCCAGTACATCTCCTCCCACGCCCGCCAGGCAGTCCTGTGGTGTGTGAGTCGGGGTGGAGCCAGCTGAGGTGGAGCGGATGGGCATGGGCATGGAGCAGCCCGCACCGTGACTGGGTGAGGAATGAGGGGAGCCTCCAGACTGGGACTGGAAGGTGATAAAAATTTAAAAAAATAATTAGAGTGTCATCTGCATATTGTAAAACCTTCAATAATTCACAAAAAAAGAAAACGTTTTATTATGCATATGTTTCTCTTCACTCGTGTATCTTAATTTACTAATTAGATTAATGTTAATTTGTAATTTGTTAGCATTTGCTGCTTGAGGTCTGCAAACATTC